ATTTTTTAGATTTTATTTATTTATCTTTAGAGGGGAAGGGAAGGAGAGAGGAAGAGAAATACTAATGTATGGTTGCCTGTCATGTGTCCCCTGCTAGGAACTGGCCTGCAACCCAGGCATGTGCCCTAACTGGGAATCAAACTGCAATCTTTGGTTTACAGGTCCGTGCTCAATCCACTGAGCTACACCAGCCAGGGCTAGTCATCATTTTCTTCAAACAGGTTCTTAGTCCCCTGATGTCTCTCTTCTTGTACCTTGATGATGGTTGATACTTGATATTGTCTCAGAGGTCCCTTAGACTTTCCTTTTTTTCAATCCTCACCCAAGGATATGTTTATTGATTTTTAGAAGAGAGGAAGGTGGGTGGAAAGGAGAAGGAAAATATTGATCACCTGCCTCCTTTGCACCCCCTAGCTGGGGATCATTTCTGCAATCTTAACATGTGCCCTGCCTGGGGATTGCACCTCAACCTTTTTGGTGTGCTGGACAATGCTCCAATCAACTGAGCCACCTGGCCAAGGCAGACTTTACTCATTTAAAGAAAATTTTTTACTTTGGCCAAGATGGAGGTGTAGGTAGACACACAACCAAAATAAGGACAAGAAAAATTTAGAAACCAAGAAAGAAACAGAACTGACAGAAAATGGAACTGTATGGAAGTCTAACAACCAAGGAGTTAAAATAGGTACATTCATCCAGACTGGTAGTAAGGGCAGAGTCGGGCAGCCAAGCGGAGAGGGGTTGCAGCAAAAAAAGTGGTGGCTGGCGGACTCTGGGCATGGGGTGGCAGCGGGCAGACTCAGTGAGGCCGCGGATTGTGGAGGGGTGTTGCGCGCAAGGCAAGGTGGCTGGCAGACCAGACAGTCCCACATTTGTGTGCAGAAAGACCAGCTGAAACTGGGGAGTGAGACAGACCATACAACCCAGAGCTCCAGCTCGGGGGAAATAAAGCCTTAAAACCCGTTGAAAACACCTGTGGGGGTTGAGGTGCTGGGAGAGACTCCCAGCCTCACACGAGAGTTTGTTGGATAGACCCACAGTGTCCTAGAACATACACAAGCCCCACCCACATGGAAATTAGCACCAGAAAGGCCCAATTTGCTTGGGGGAAGTGGAAGGGACTGAAATCTGGCAGAGAGTGGAGGAAGCGCCACTGTTCCCTCTCGGACCCCTGCCCCACCAATAGCATCACAATGCAGCCACATGGGTTGCCCCGCCCTGTTAAACACCTGAGCTCCGCCCCTTATACACAACAGGTGCGACAAGATAAAAAAAATGGCTCAAATGAAAGAACAGATCAAAGCTCCAGAACAAATACAACTGATCGACGAAGAGATAGCCAACCTATCAGATGCACAGTTCAAGGCACTGATCAGGATGTTCACAGCATTGGTTGAATTTGGTCTCAAATTAGATGAGAAAATGAAGGCTTACACTAAGTGAAATAAAGGAAAATGTACAGGGAACCAATAGTGATGGGAAGGAAACTGGGACTCAAATCAATGGAATAGACCAGAAGGGAGAAAGAAACAATCAAACAGAAAGGAATGAAGAAACAAGAATTCAAAAAAATGAGGAGAGGCTTAGGAACCTCTAGGACATCTTTAAACACTCCAACATCCGAATCATAGGGGTACCATAAGGAGAAGAGCAAGAGCAAGAAATTGAAAGCTTATTTGAACAAATAATGAAGGAGAACTTCCCCAATCTGGCAAAGGAAATAGATTTCTAGGAAGTTCAGAGAGTCCCAAAGAAGTTGGACCCAAGGAGGAACACACCAAGGTACATCATCATTATATTAGCCAAGATTAAAATGGAGAGAATTCTAGAAGCATCAAGAGATAAGGGGACAGTAACCTACAAAGGAGTTCCGAACAGGCTGTCAGCTGATTTCACAAGAGACCTTGCAAGCAAGAAGGAGCTAGAAGTCTTAGTGCTTCTCAGATAAAGTCAAGTTCAAAGAGTTCATCATCACCAAGCCCTTTTTATATGAAAGTTAAAGGGACTTATCTAAGAAAAAGAAGATAAAAAAATAAGTATAGTAAAATGATAGCAAACTCACAATTATTAATAACCACACCTAAAACAAAAGCTAAGCAAACAATTAGAACAGGAACAGAACCACAGAAATGGAGATCACGTGGAGGGTTAGCAACAGGGTGGTAGGAGAGGGAGAAAAGATAGAGGATAAATAGCATAGATGGTAGGTAGAAAATAAATGGAGAGAGCAAGAATAGTATGGGAAATGTAGAAGCCAAAGAATTTGTAAGTATGACACATGGACATGAACTAAAGGGGGGAACATGGATGGTAGAGGGTGTGCAGGGTGGAGGGAAAATGGGACAACTGTAATAGTATAATAAAATATTTAAAAATTTTTTGTTGCTTGGGTGTTTTCTTGTCCTCTAAATATCTGGTTTGATCCTTTGCTTCATCTAACCTGCTGTTGAGATTCCTTCTAATGTATTCCTTATTTCTGATTGGTTCTTTTTTGTGATTTCTATATTCTTTTTAATGCTTACTATCTATTAAGTTCTCACTGAGATCATCCCTTCTTCCCCTAAGTTTCTTGAGCATCCTTGTAACCATCGTTTTGAACTCTGCATCTGGTATCTTGGTTACCTCCAATTTCATTTAGTTCTTTGGAGGAATTTTCTTTTATTTGAGGCATGTTACTTTGTCTTCCTGTTTTGTCTGCCTGTTTGTGTTTCTGTGTATTAGGTAGATCTGCTATATCTCTAAAGCTTGTTATAACAGTCTTACCTAGTTAGGTATCCTATGGGGCTCAGTGGCTCAATATTCCTGAACACCTGACCTAGGTGCTCCAGGAATGTCAGGAATTGAGTGGGGATATATGAGCCTTCCTCTTGTATTTGAGTCTTGAATGTTGTTGGTCCATCCGTGAGTGGAATTATCCCTTAAGACTGTCTGACTGTGAGGGTTGACATGGACCACAGTGTATGATCTGTATGAAAGCTGCCCCCTACCCTACAAGCAGCGTTTGCTCCATCAGTGTCTGGTGCCTGCTGGGATCTTCTTTGGGTTTGCCACTTGTGCGGTTAGTTGGGTCATGCTCTGCTGTGGTCTGAAGCCCACCACTGGTTGTGTTGTTTCTGGGTCCACTTGGGAGGGACTCCAGTGCAGGTTGATGTTGGACACTGTCAGTGACTGGCCTTGGGCTACCTGTATGGAGCTATCAAGTGGTCTGCAGTTTGTGGCTACCTCGATTGGGCCTGGTACATGTGGGAGGGGTCAAGCTGCATAGAACGGTTCTCTTGGATTCCACCACCTCTGAGCCTGAACAGATCAGTAAAAGGCCCCAGGTACCTCCAGGTCTGCCTTCCACGTGTTGGCTTCTCTGCCTTGAGGCTGCCAGGACTTCAAGAACCTTCTAAAGAAAGTCTTAACCCAGGTTCTTAAGTTGATTTGTCCCAACTAGCATCCATTTCAGGACCATACATTACATCACATTTTTCTTTTTAGGTTTTACCTTATCCTACTTGTAAAAACAATAGTATAGCTTGGTCCAGTGGCTTAGTTGGTTAGAGGGTTGTCCCATACACTACAAAAGATTGCAGGTTCAGTCCCTGCTCAGGGCATGGACAGGAACAACTGATCAGTTTATCTCTCACGTTGATGTTTCTCTTTCCAACTCCACCCCCTTCTCTCTAAAATCAATAAGCATTTCCTTGGGTGAGGATTTAAAAAAATAGTGTAGACCTTGTTGTGCAAGATGTCCTTTCTTGGTTGGACTAGTTATTTCTTTGTATCATTTAACTTGTTCTTTTTGCCCGTTTTATTTATATTTTTCTATAAATTTGAAGTTATAACTAAAAGGTTGATGGATTCCTGTTAAACATTTTAAGATAGGTGTTAAGTTGAATTTAATGTGTTTTTTTTTAACCTATGTAAATCTATGTGGCTCATGGGAATTTAAGTCATTTTACACGATTTGTTTTAATTCTGGAGTATGTAGAATTATACATTAACTCACTAAAATTTTTATTTTCAAAGAAAAAATACTTGGACTGATGGCAATAAATGCGAATTAGTAAGGTTTGCCTATATTCACACATATCTTGTATTAAGTGTCAAACATAGTAGACCCTTATGTTGTAAGTATAAAAATTGAAAACACTAAGTTTTAAAATTTAAGGTTTATGAATACTGCCACAAAATAAGTTGTCCTATAAATCAAAACTGGAGAGATGACTGCAGTGACTATAACACTTATAAACTCAGTACTATATTGATAAAACTATTAAAATGAAATCTGCTACTGAAACTTATGTTTAGCATGAGTTACTCAAATTTGAAGATGAAAAGTGTTCAGCTGAGATATGAACCAAAAGCCAAATTGGAATAAAGATGCTGTATGGTCACTAGACTCAATAGCTACATGACTCATTCTTTTCATACCAGCCTGTAGCATTAGATTAAAAGTTGTGCTTTGAAAGCTCTGCCTGGTGTAGCTCAGTGGTTTGAGCACAGGCTGTGAACCAAATGGTTGCCAGTTCAATTCCCAGTCAGGGCACATGCCTGGGTTGTGGGCCAGGTCCCCAAAAGGGGATGTGCAAGAGGCAACCACACATTGGTATTTCTCTCCCCTTTTTTCTTCTCTTCCTCTCTCTCTAAAAATAAATAGATAAAATCTTTATTTTAAAAAAGTGCTTTGGCAGCATTACAAATTAATAGGCTATTGCCTTTTGTATGTTCCTAAGTAATTAAGACCTCTAAAGATCAGTGTGTAAATGTAAAGGGACTAATGTAGTGGTTTCTAAGTATTCAAGGACCAGTGCTAGGCCAGAAAATACATTCTTAGAAAATAAAGCCTCAGTTCCCATCCTGTGACTGTTATTTTCATTGGGTTTGGGGTAGAACGTATGAGAAAGACTCTGTGTGCTTAAAAGCTTTTTAGATGATTTGGATGTGTGCCTGTTTGTGAACTTAGGTTATACTATTAATTGTAAGTGTCACTTACATAAATAACTGTTTGACAGGTAATATTTTCATATCTCGAACCTCAATCCCAAATGCTGCCTCTGAAGATGGAGATGAAGATGACTGTGTATCCAATAAAGTTATCTATAAAATAGGTAAGAGGGAAAGATAACCAGATTATTACCTTAAAATAAAGAGATAGGCTGTTGTATTTTAACTCTTGCCTACATATTTTTTTTTCACTACTTGTAGGTGATCTGGGCCATGTAACAAGGATCTCTAGTCCACAAGTTGAAGAGGGTGATAGCCGTTTTCTTGCAAATGAAGTTTTACAGGAGGTAGTTTTTCTTCCTTAGTGATGCCATTTATTTGCAGCACTTACCATTTAATAGAATAATACAAATGCAGATGTGTTAAAAATTTAAGGTAACTAATAGAATAGTAATGCAGAATAGAAAGTCTAAACCATCAGCTGGGGTATTTAATTTAGCAAAAGTCAGTAAAAACAAAGATTTGTAATATTCAGCCTGGTGGAGTTTTGGTAAAAGAGAAGTTCCCATATACTGCTGGTGAAACTTTAAAATGGTATAGCATTTTTGGAGAGCTAAGTATTAGTATCTGTCAACATTTTAAAATCAAGTACCCTTTAACCCAGAATTTTTGTTTCTGTGAGTCTCCTACAGAAATAATCCTTTACAAATAAACCAAGAACAATATAAATAAATATTTAGCAACACAGGAATGATTACATAAATTACGGCTCATAGTTAGTTACTGTTGCAAAAAGTGCAATGAAATATTTCTCAAGAGTTTTGAATGAAAATAGAACAAGTAAAACAAATAGTATGAACATTATTTTTATGTGTATTTGTATCTTATAGGTATATGTATATTTGTAACTTGTCAATGTGTGTATGTTTTATGTTTTCATACGAATTCTCCTGGAGAGATAGGAGTTTCTTCTAAGAGCTGAACTGGGCTAGTGATAAAGGAAGCATTTGCTTTTAGGAGAAAAACCCCTCTACCCCAGAGTGTATATTGCTTTGTAATTAGAATAATTTCCCCAAATTTACTTTTTCTCTAAAGAGATCCAACACTTAAATGTGGCACTGAACATTTTAATTTAGTCCTATTTTTTCATCTAAATCATTATAAGGTATAATTGTATTTTATTTTGACCATTTTTATTTCTTTTTTTTTTACAGAACTATTCCCATCTGCCAAAAGCAGATATTTTTGCCCTTGCCCTCACAGTGGTCTGTGCTGCTGGTGCCGAACCTCTTCCCAGAAATGGAGACCAGTGGCATGAAATCAGACAGGGTAGGTTACCTCGGATTCCACAGGTGCTTTCCCAAGAATTCACAGAGTTGCTAAAAGTGAGTATTTTACATATGAAGCACTTTATTGACATGGTTCAATATTTTTATTAAATTGCATGTTTTTACCTTAATTTTACTTCTTTTTAAGGTTATGATTCATCCAGATCCAGAGAGAAGACCTTCAGCAATGGCACTGGTGAAGCATTCAGTATTGCTGTCTGCTTCTAGGAAAAGTGCAGAACAATTACGAATAGAATTGAATGCTGAAAAGTTTAAAAATTCACTTTTGCAGAAGTAAGCAAAGGGGGTTTTTTTTGTTTGGTTTTGTATTTTCATTAATTCACAGATTTGATTTTATTTTTAAAAGATGTAATTTTAGAGAGATGGGAAGGAAGGGAGAGAGGGTAAGAAACATCTACCAGTTGCCTCTCGTTTGCCCCTCAATTGGGGACCTGGCCTGCAGCATAGACATGCACCCTGACTGGGACTTGAAGGAACAACCTTTAGGTTTGCAGCACAGAGCTCAATTCACTGAGCCATACTGGCCAGAGCTATTTCACAAATAGTGAGTTGATTTATGCTTTGTGCCAGTGAAGGATTTAGTGGTTTGGTATGTTATACAGTTAGTTTGGGGACTTCTGCCTTAAATTAGTATTTGACCTATAAATTTGTGTTGTTTCTAAACTTTGAAATTACTGACTTAAAGTTTTTTAAAACTAGCCTATATTTGCAAGTAGTAATAATACCCAAGCCCTAAATCATAGCAAAAGCTAAGTGAGCCTCTATGGTTTTCCCTCGTCCAAACTGTCAGCCAAAATTAACATTCCTTGAAATACTCTGTTGTACTGATTTTTATAAAATAATGAGATTAGTGTCAATTAGGTTAGTAGCTGATTGTCATATTTGATTAGTGACCTTTGACATTTTTAGAACTGAATGGAATAATAATTCTAATTCATTTACTTTATTGCTACCATTTTGATCCAAGCCTGATCTGACTTAAAATATGGAAAGATCTGGCCCTGGCTAGTGTGGCGCAGTGGATTGAGTGCTGGCCAGCAAATCAAGGGGTCACTGGTTCGATTCCCAGTCAGGGCACATGTCTGGGTTGCAGGTGTGCAAGAGGCAACCACACATTGATGTTTCTCTTCCTCTCTCCCTCCCATCCCCTCTCTCTAAAAATAAATAAATAAAATCTTTAAAAAAATAAAAGTTTTATTTGCCACTACTTTGATAGATATCATTGTAATACAAATAGGAAGAATTTTCCTTTCATCTCTGTTATGTAAAGATATTTTCACAACATAGAGTTCTGTTTGATGTTTTTATTAAAACCTAGCCATTGCTAGTGTTGTTGTTACTTGTATCTAAGTGTATATATATATTTTAATTCTGGCAGCACAAAATAAGATTATTTTATAAATTTAAGTTATTTAAGCAGAAGCTAAAGTTTCGTACTGTATTTTCCTTAGAATAATGACGTGCAGAGATCTCACAGCTGATAATATAGTTTGTGTTCGGCCTCTTAGGATCCCCTTCCTGGGATTAACATAGTAAGTGAAAAGTCTTGTTTTCTATTTTTATGTTTGTAGAGAACTCAAGAAAGCCCAGATGGCAAAAGCTGCAGCTGAGGAAAGAGCATTCTTCACTGACCGGATGGCCACTAGGTCCACCACCCAGAGTAATAGAACATCTCGACTTATTGGAAAGAAAATGAACCGCTCTGTCAGCCTTACCATATACTGAACTCTACTCAGTTTCCCACCTTCCCCCAAAACTGTGACAAGAAGAGGCTAAGCTAGGTTGAAATCACTGCTAGAAAATTACTTTCTCAAAATTGGTGTCAGTAGTTTTACTGAAAGACTTTTTAGGACTTTTATTTGTGAACTGCAGTTAAAAGCTGTATTTTCACCAGTGCTCTATCAGGCTTTCGTCTAGTTTTACCAGTTTGTCTTCTGTAGGGTGTCAGTCACTGTTGGATGTCACATGAGCCTTTCCAGGGTTTTAACTACTGTGGTGGTATGCTGCTTATAGTTTGCTGTTGCATTGTGATGAAAGGTATCCTTCCCTTTAGTGACCTGTAAAAAGGGCTCAAAGGGCTTTATTACAAGCATTCTCCCTTGGAAAAGGGGAGGAGTGCTAAGAGAATCAGTTACTACCCAGGCGTCAATGTAACTATGTCAGTCTTTTTTTAATTGTGAATTATACTTGTATATCCAACTGGGAGCACTTTTAGGCACTGTATGAACCATAGAATAATTCTGTGGAAGTATTGCCTTGTGAATTTGCTGCTATTTTAGTTTTGTCTTTGCTGTATAATTGTAGCATTAAACAATCATTGTTAATAGGCTTTCTTTTGAAAACAATTATGTGAAATACATAGCTGCTCTTAATAAAAAGCAGCTCTTTGCCTTTTTTTTCCCTTTGGACGTTGAAGCTAGTGCATTGGGAAAATGCACCCTTTCCCCCTTTGGAATGCTGTATTAATGTAGTGTAATTATTCCTGGGTTTGTAATTCTTTCTGTTAATACCTTCCCTAACTTTTAAAAAATGTTTTCTCTTTCCACCCAAGTTTTGTACTTGATTGTATTATTAGTCTGTTTTTAACTGTTTTGCCCAGTTTCTCTTCAATATTTGTGTATATAAACTAATCTTGGGGATACTGTACATAGATGTTTGAAATGCCAGAATGACTTCTGACTATTCCAAGCTTTTCATAAAATATATTTTATCTGTGATTAGCCATTTGACTAATAGTACTGGCTAACATGTTGGAAAAAAGAAGAATTTGTCTATTGTTTATTTTCCTATTGATTTTGGTTCAGAACATCTTTGCATTTGTTTGACTTGTGTTTTATTAACATTGGCATATTAAAAGTCACTCTGAGCTTACCTTAATTGTCTAAATCTTTGTGATGCCTATTTTCTGTTGTCTTCATGAGGTAGAGTACTAAATGCAGAGGACACATTTTTGATAGAACATGAAACATTGATTATTTAATGTTGACCTCCAGTCTATATTAACATTTTGGGATTTAAGGAAAATATACATATCAGTCTTAATTTTTTTTTATGTTTTTTTATCCTCACCTGATTTTTTTTTTTTAAGATTTAATTTATTTATCTTTAGAGGAGAAGGGAAGGAGAGAGGGAGAGAAATATCAATGTATGGTTGCCTCTCCTGTGTACCCTGCTGGGGGAACTGGCCCAGGCATGTTCCCTGACTAGGAATAAAACCAAGATCCTTTGCTTCACAGGCCCACGCTCAATCCACTGAGCTATACCAGCAAGGGTTATCCTCACCTGATTTTAGAGAAAGAAATTGTGTGGGGGAGAAACATTGATTGGTTGCCTCCTGTACATGCTCTGACTGGGGAACGAACCCACAGCCTAGGTATGTTCCCTGACCAGAGATCAAACCTACAACATTTTAGTATACAGGATATATTATACTTTTGATCTGCTAGAAATGTAGAACAGCATAGTTTAAAATAGCTTTGGCTTTTTAAATGAATATTATACAACTCAACTTTCTAATGTGAATTGAGTCACAGAGAGCATTCACCTGGGGAGGGTTTTAACTCACCTACGTTAGGTTTTAATGGAGAGTGCAAACTTAAGTGATGAACATTGTTAAACCTGTGGCATCTTTTTCTGGTATAGATAGGAGCCAGAGAGTGGACAGTGGAGACCTTTGAACTGATAAAATGGAAGTCACAAGATCATTGTTTTTCTAACATGGGTACATAATTCCCCTTGATTAGGGCCATAAACATTTCTAACAAGTTCTCTAGCCTATGACATGCTAAAAAGCACAATTTGAGGTGTGAGAGGAATTGGTATAGACAGGTAAATTACATAGAAAAGCTCAGGCATGGCTGACAGAAAACCTAAAAAGCTGAAGGTTGGAGCAATGTTGGTTGCACGTTTCAGTAGCCACTAAAGACAGCTATAAACTGGTCATAGAATCAACTCTAAGTCATGCAGGTTCATTTTTTCCTAGTGTACTAGTTTCAAAGAAAAAAGATCAGGTATTTTTCATCAAAATTTACAGTACTTTTTTCGCATTGTTTAATAATATTAGAAAACTATCTCGTTTTTAAAGAGGGAATTCCTTTTGTGTCTTTCCAAAATGACAAACATTTACTGGTTTTTGAGAGAAAGGGAGAAATGTGTATTTGTTGTTCCACTTGTTTTTGCATTCATTGGTTGATTCTTGTATGTGTCCTCACTGGGGCTTGAACCCACAACTTTGGCTTATTTGGACAATAGTCTGACCAATGGAGCTAACCCAGCCAGAGCCAAAGAGGAAGTTCTTGAACCATCTGAAAGCTGCTATAAGAGTTGGGCTCATCTCTAGCACAGAATACTTAGGTTGAGTGTCTTTCCACGTGCTAACTTGTAGACCAAAGACCAGTAAGAAATAAGCTTTGATCCTGGCTGGTGTGGCTCAGTGAATTGAGTGCCAGCCTGCGAACCAAAGAAATAGGCTTTGCCCCCCAGGAACTCAGGATGAAACAGAGGAGATCCGTATAAAAATGAAATGACAATAAAATATGACGAGTGCAGTGTTGGAGGGATACTGCAAGGTAGAGTGATGCTCAAAGGACAGTCACCCTGGGAAGATGCTGGTAGGTACATTAGAAACTTGATTTGGAGAATTTTATCAGACTGGTTTCAAAGCCACCACTGCACTAATTCAAGGTAAGAGTAAGGAGGGCCTGCCCTGGGACACCCTGTGGATGTAAACAAGGGGACAGAGAATTCCCTAGATGAGAACACTGCACATTGAACAGCTTTCGTTTGTTTTTATAGTGGAGTGAGAACTTGTTAGCATAACATCTGGCAGAAGCTACAAGTGCTAATATTGAGGCATTGAAGAATTTTCCAGAAAACAATTAAAATGCAGAGGCCTGGTCCTCTTTGAGACAAATAATTTAACATTTATAAAACTACCTTTTTTGGAAAGCTGATGTTAGAAAGATTTTTAAATACTGACTGTAGTTGGGTAGGAGGAACCACATATTACAATTGACTACATATTAAAACTGTTGCCTTTATTTTGCCAAGAATCCAAGGTAGTCCTCTTTAATTAATGAACTGTCAATCCTTAAGCTTTGCTTTTTTTGCTTTGCTTTATTCCAGAGGTCAAGAAATAATGACATTTAAGAAACAACCCTGGACAGGTGGCTCAATTAGTTGGAACATCATCCTATACACCAAAAAGGTTGCAGGTTCAATCCCTAGTCAGGGCACATACCTAGGCTGTGGGTTCGATTCCTAGTTGGGGCATGTACAGGAGGCAATAATCGATGTTTCTTGCTCCCTCGCTTATTCTCTCTTCCTCTCTCTCTTAAAAAAAGTTCCTCAATTGAGGATTAGAAAAAATATATAAAAGCTGGTAACAACTGGGTTCGGGTAGTGCTTCAAGCTGTCTTCTAATTCTTAAGCAGCAGTAACCTGACATTAGTTTTTCTTCCTCCCCGTTTATCTCCACAGAGCATCTCACTGACCTTAGCCAACAGATCAAATAAGTTGGTGCATCCTTAAGGTATTTTTATTTGTGAAATTTTTAAAGGTCAAAGCAATCAAGAAGGAGGATGGATCAAAAAGGAATTTTGGAAGTGTTTTGGCTATTGTGAGAATCGTAAGTGAAGCCTGGAACTAGGAATTTGGAGGAAACGGTTTCATCAGTAATTTGAAGGCATTTGTATGACTGTAAAAAGCATCACTGAAACTGATTGACTTGCAGAGTGAGTGGATCTAGAAGTTTCTCCCGCGAACCTGGTTGTATTGTTAGGAATTTCTCAGAAGCTCAGTAAAGTAGATTTTTATAAAAGTGGAAAAGTAAGACATAATCGAAACTGTTCCTCTCCCAACGTTTAGCTCTTAAAAACTTTGAGAGGCATTCATCTGAACGTCATTGAACTTTTATTTCCTTTGTGGCAGATGACACTAATTTTCAGTGCAGTTTGAAGGTCTCTTGGAGTAAGGGAAAATATCTGTGTATACTCTGGGAAGATTTGCCAGGAAAAGATGGCATGTTCTGTCCAAACCTCATTAAACTAAGAGTCTTAAGAAACCTCAGCCAATCCAGCCCATGAAGAAAATACCTCAAAGGAATATTTCTATCATAATTCATATTGCTTAGTTTTATATGGTTAATAAACATTTTGAAATGTATGTTATTTGTTTTGAGTTTTGACATTCTTATGCCATGAAATGGGTTTCCAGTCTAGAATTTCAATTTATGCCTACTACCAATTAATTACACCAATGAGAAACCCCAGTTCACATAGAAATGAAGACCACATGAAGGGTTAGCAACAGGGGAGAGGGAGAAGGAGAAGGGGGGAGAAGGTACAGAAAATAAGTAGCATAGACGGTAGATAGAAAATAGATAGGGGGAGGGCAAGAATAGTATGGGAAATATAGAATCTAAAGAACTTGAGACACGTGGTCATAAACTAAAGGGGGGAATCATGGGGGTGGGGGGTGCAGGGTGGAGGGGAATAAAGGGGGGGAATAGAACAACTGTAATGGCATAATTAATAAAATATATTAAAAACCTAAAAAAAAAGAAACCCCGGTTCAGTGTACAGTGACTCCATTTAGGATGCTCAACCAGGAGGGGAGTCACCTTTTCATAGCTAAGACTACAGAGACTCAGGTGAGTTAAATGTTATTTAACTCAGGAACTCAGCATTAAAAATAGAAGAGGCAGAATTCTGACTTCAGTTTGATAAGAATCGCTTTTTCCAGACACTCAAAAGTGGAGGACAGGGACCAATTAGAGAACAGAGTTCAGGCAGCTAAGGAGAGTAAGAAGGAGTGAGGAAGACTGGGAAGACTGACCTGCTTGGACACCAAGAGAGGTTTTGAAGGAGAAATTAACTGTCTATAAAGATTAAGAATTGACTCAAAGCTCCACAAAGGCATTGGGAGGAGACCTTTGGTGAGCAACCTTAGTGGGAGAGGAAAAGCCAGATTACACTGAGTTGGGGTCTAAACAGGAGATGAGCAAATAGAGACAGCAAGCACAAATCATTTTCAAGAAACAGGGCTGAAAGAGGGAGAGCGAGGGAGGAGAGGGCTGTATTACAAGAGGGAAAATCTGTGTGTTGTACTGTCACTCACTGACTGCCTATTATGTGTTACATGTTTTACATACATAATGTAATCTAATTCTGTTGAGAACTGTGACAAAATCCCCACTTTGCACGTGATAGGTAAGACAGATTTCACCGACTACATAGCTACAAAGTGTCAGGATTCAAACGTCAAGTGTTTGGCTGAACCACTAGCCACATTCCTAGCAAGTCCTCTGAGCCTGGAGCAGAGGGAGGATGAGTGTAGGTGAGACAAGTTTGGAAGTGTGGAGGGATGCAGGGGGTGGGGGAGCGGAATTCCAGTCTGATGGCCTCGCATCTCAAGCGGGAATTGAGTCCCCTGAACTGAAAATGCCATCTCACCCCACTGCGTGCTTTCTTTCTGAATGAGGTGGTTAAAAGTTTTCAGAGCACACTGTATAGCTATTTTAAGCAGTGTTGCAGGAACTCGTATGACTTGGGGGGAAGTACACGTGTTAAAATGTTAAAGTGGAAAAGTCAGTAAGCAAAGTTGTATATAAAGGTTTTTTTTTTTTAACATTAAATAAAGGAAGGCTAACAATGGTTATCTTTTGAGTGGTTGGATTATGGGACATTTTCTACTTTTCCTTTTCTGAACTTTCTGCATGTTACATGAGTTTTTACTTTGTAATCAGAAAAAAATCAAAAATAGCCCTGGCTGGAGTGGCTCGGTGGATTGAGCACCAGCCTGTGAACCAAAGGGTCGCCAGTGGGATACCCAGTCAGGGCACGTGCCTGGGGTGTGGGCCAGGTCCCCAGTGGGGGTGG